TTAGACTGTTTACCTTTAATGTAATTAGTTGAGATGTTAGGACTTAAGCTTGCCGTTTCATCTTTTGTTTCCTTTTTTTTCGTTTTCGTATTCTTTTTCACTGTAGGTTGCTGCAAGATACTGAATCTAGTTCCCCGGGCTGTACAGTAGGAACTTGTGTCATGTTTTGTTTTCCGTTTGTTCTCCTTGTGTTTTGTTTCTCTGCTCTTATTTCCTGCCTTCCTGTGTGTTACTCAGCATTTTTTACAATTCCACTGTGATTTATTGACAGTGCTTTTGAATATGCTCTTTGTGTAACTTTTCAGTGGCTGCCCAGGTGTCACATCACATGTAACATGATTCGCTGGTGGATGGAGGCGTGGCCTCCAGGTCCTCACCCATCACCTCCCGGTCTGCCCACCCGCTCACAGCGTCCTCCCAAGTCCTTCGCAACAAACAGGCGGCCCCTGGGTTGTGTGGTTGCATGGATCCTACTACTGGCAGCCTCCCAGAATTGCTAACAGGCGGAGAGGGGACGAGTTGGGGTGGGAATAGGACCAGTGGTTCCCAAACATGCTTTGCTCAAGAGGACTCTGGAAAACCTTAAAATGCAGCTTCTAGGACCACCTCGGTCCTAAACCAGGCCCTGAGAGGCGGCACACACCACCACAGTGACTTCCGCGCTGAGGCCTCTATGCTCTGTCTCCGCAGTAAGGCCAGGTGAGCACTGGGCCACCAGGTGAGCCCTGGGCCACCAGTGGGCAGGTCTCCTTTCCCAGACTCGAATCTCTCCTCTGCACCACCCTCCTGGGGGTTCTGGGAGTTGGGGCAAAGTCCTTCTCGGAGACCCCCAGGAGTGCTCGCAGCCCCTAAGTGTTGCTGCTGGAGGCCCCTCCTGGCCTGGGACTGACTCCCAGAGGGCTCCCCACGGGCAGGGGGTTCCCACCTGAGCCCTGCTCTGGGGGCCCACCTTCCTCCTGATCCTCACTCCCGAATCACCATGAGGATTTCTTTTTTTGTTTTTTTGCATGAGTCCTTCCTTTTATTTTTAAGTTTTGCTATTTTGAGGGAAGATCATTAGGTTTTTTTGTTTATTCACTTGTTTATTGGAGATACTGGATCTTGAACCGAAGCATTCTACCAACTGAGCTACACCCTCCATGAGGATTTCTCAGCAGGCCGGTGCCTCCCTCAGGAGGAATGCTGTTCATGTCCCTTTGTAGGCCAGCATGGCGCCTGGAGCTTAGTGACTGCCAAGGAAATGTTTGTTTAGTTAACAAACAAAGCTGTTAATTACCAGCCACGCAGGAGGCTGCTCATTTCAACCTGCCTCTTGCCTTTGTGTGTTCCCAGGGGAAAGAGCAGGAGGGGCACCCAGCACTGGCTCTGGCCCTGGGCTGTGACGCCCTGTCTCCTGGGCCACTTGCGCTGGTGTCCCTGGAGGGGGCCATCAGAAGGCACCCGTGGACGCTGACTTCTGACCTCCTCCGTGACTTCTGAGTGAAATGTAATAAATGTGTTTTATACACGTGATGATTATAAAGTTCGTGTGTCAAATAGCCCTTATTTTGCTTCCTAAATGTACCTTCCTGGGCTGTTTCATCCCTGGACAGATGGTAAAAATGGAAAAGAGACTGTGGAATGGCAGACGTACATCAGCCGCGTCAGCAGCCACTGTCGAGGGCCTGAACCCCCCTGGTTAAGGGACAGAGGTTGTCAAGTAAGAAAAAAAAAGCAAGGTCCAGCTTTATGTTGCCTGCAAGCAACTCACTTCGAAGACATAACTAAGTTAAAAATAAAAGGTGAAAGAAGATACACCGTGCCAACACTGGTCAGTAGGAGTCTAACATCACATGAATTAAAAAAGAAGACACGAGAAATTTGGGAGCATTTTGGAACGAGCGGGGGGGGGGCAAACGTAAACATCCGTGGGGTGAGGCTAAAGCCGTGGGAAGAGAGACGTGTGTAAAAGCAAGTGACAGTATCAGACAAAAAGTAGCATTTTAAGTCCACGCCACCAACTTCTTCTTGAAGACCCTGGAAAAGGGGAGCTGAGCCCTGCCCCGAGTGTCAGGATTTGCCAGCAGGCTGGCAGGTGGGTCAGAGAAGGCTCATCGTGCCCAGGCTCGGGCTGAGCAGGACATGGAGGCGGTGGCCTGGCTCCTGGGAGACGGGTGCGGGGGAGGGCCGCACGGGTGGCACCGGGGCACCTGTCGGAGGTCAGGGTGCCCCAGGAGTGGGGCGGGCATGGTCTGGCCTCAGGCGTATCTGTGGATAGTGTCAGCTCAAAGCAGCATTTAAACCACCGACTGGACGGGCGTCCCTGGGCGAGAAGGGGCCCTGCCAGTCTCCTTGAGTGAATTAAAGTACACTGAACCCCAGCACTGAGGAGGACGGGGGGAGGGGCCTCGCCAGCCACGGAGGTCTGCCGGTTTCTGAAACACCGAGTGTCTGGGGCGTGAGTCACGGAAAGAGGTCTTCCCTGGTGGACTGGCCGTCCGACCGGGTTTGGGGTGGCTATGCCCCCAGTAGTGTGTCCCCTGCTTCCTGCCGGGCACCCCGAATGGCCCTCGGGTGGGAGCAAGGCCGGGCACGCTAGGGGTTGCCTCTGAAGAGAGTGTCCCAGGGCCTGGCAGGGCGGCCTGAGCACCATGGTCCTGGGGAAGCCACCGAGCCGGGGTGATGAGGCCCGGGTGACCTTCACGCTGCGGGGACTGCTCCTTCCCACCGGTCTACCGCGGGCCGGTTCCACTCACCCCCAGCCGCCGAGGAGGGCGGGCGCAGCTGCTCACTGGCCTGTGTGACTGATGGCAGTTGACAGCCCGGAGCCCGAAGCACCCCTGGCACTCGCTGACCCACTTTCTCCACCGTGGGCTGGACGCATTTACATAACAGATGGCCACAGGGCCCTACTGTCCCTCTGACACTGGAGGAGAGGTTTTCTGATTAAGAAGGAGGCAGGGCGCCCCAGCCTGGCCACCGCGTGGCCGGTCTATCTGTGCTGGTAACTCAGCCTTCCCACGCACTCCAAGCCTAGAAGGGCCCTGCCGGCTGCCGCGGGGGCTGCGGGGAGGAGCACTAGCGCCCCCCTCCTTTCTGGGGTCTTTGTCCGCGACGCCGTGCTCACCACCCAGCCTGCGGACCGCGCCGTCCAGCAGAGCCTGCGGGGCCCGAGACCTTCGCTCTGCCCTTCAGCACTGAACACGCGCTCGTGGAGGTTTTATTTCGAACAGAAAGAATGCAAGGGGCTGGTGGCTGCTGTCCTGGCCCATCAGTGCGCAAGGAGGCATTTCTTCAACTCTCTTTGCCGTGAATTACACCTTTAGGCTAAATCCTGGTTGTTCGAAAGTGCTGTTTTACCACGAATAGTTAGAAGGAGTGGTCTGAGTTTGCTGAAGCTGCCTGTGAAAACGCCAGCGTGAATGGCCAGTCGTCGGTGCCTGGGGAAGCGGCTCCGTGGCCGGGCTCTTGGTTCGGGTCCGCCAGCATCCGGGGCTGCTCCATGCAGGGCTCTCCCGACTCGCATCGCCCGGCTGACGGGAAGGTGCTTTGTTTCTGTGTTTGCCTTTTAACATATCTCCAACAGGGATATTTTGAAGAGGATAAAAACAAGTTTTTGCCCAAGAAACCTATAAGGTTAAAGGAAAGTCTGCTTCTTTACCCTGTAGTCTCTCCCATGTGGCCTGAGCCTCCTGTCTCTACAGGTTAAATCAAAGGCCAGGGTCCAGACGCCCCGTGTGCTTGGGGGGTGCCCGGGGGTCCCAGGACTTCTGCTCCTGCAGGGCTCCAGCAGCCGAGCGGGCGGTGGGCCCTTCAGTCAGCAAGGGGCTAAGTGAGACTGTGTGCAGAGCAGGGCCGGCCCCTGGCTCCACTCCAGGCTTCCAAGGCCCTGTCCGCCATCGTCCCCACACCTCTGCCCATCTCAGGTGGACACCTGGGCAGGTGCGTGTGTCTCCTCCCACGGCCGCTTCCTGGCCCCTCTTGGACCCCCTGGGCCCTGGACCTGGGCCGGGCATCCGGAACCGTGCCCCAGCCAGGCCTTCCCTCCCCTCAGTCCCCCAAGCAGCACTTTGCTGTCATAACTGTGCGGCCACTCTCAGCCGCAGCCGTCCCTTGGTGAGACTGGCCCCGGGCGGGCAGCTGTGCAGCCCCATCCGTGCATCACGCAGACTTGGGCACAACTCCCCAGAGAGGCCCCCCACCCCCACCTCATGACCCGTCTCCAGGTGCAGCTTTGCCGTCTGCTCACCGAGTCCTCCCTGCCCTCCCTGCTTCGTCTCGTCTTGCGCGGCCATGCTGCACACCGCCACGGGTGGCTTGTCCCTCGGCCTGGACCCCGTACGGACTGCTCGGCTCTGTCCTCGGCTCAGTCAGGCCCAGGCCCCGCGTGCACGGCACCCTTCCTCCGTCGCCTGTAAAGCGGAGCCTAAATTTTGCCTGGTGGGACAAGTGCTAGACAGATTGCAGAAATCATACCATAAACAGGCCAGTGATGGGGCACTTGAGGGTTTTCCAGAAACTTCGTAAAGTTGTCTGGCCGTTCAGTGAGCAGAGACAAAGTCCACTTCAGCAGGGAGGTTGGCTCAGGAATCTGGGCTCCAGACACAAAGGGAACTCCAGCGCCTGTAACTTCTTGGCTTTTCAGGGGGGGGGGGATCCTTGTGCGGATGTGTTGGGAAATGGGCAGAACGCACGTGATAGCTGCGCAGACGCTCTCTAGACGCACCGGGGCCCCCAGGCCTGCCAGGTCACCCCGAGAGAGCTGTTCCGGTTCTCTCGTCACAGAGGTGACGCTGAGGCCCGAGGGCTTGAGGACCTGCCCAGGCCACGAGGTGGGGCCCAATCACTCCCTGGCAGGCTTGCCCTGGGCTTGCTCCCCTGCTGTGCGCCCAGGGCCCCCAGGTGCCGCCCCTGCCTTGTGCTGCCTGGGCGCTGGGACGCCTCTGCCCCCCAGACCTCCTCCTGTCACCAGCGGCAATGCTGACGTGCCGCCGGACCCCTGACACGTGCCTCTCTTGCAGGTGACACTGTCTGGGCCCCATCTGTCCTTCCTCACGGCACCCTCGGCACCTTGAGCCGCCACCCCCAGCTGCATTTTGGAAGAAAGATGGAGTCCAAGGTCTCAGAAGGTGGCCTGAACGTGACGCTGACCATCCGCCTGCTGATGCACGGAAAGGTACAGGCCGCGGTGGTGTGGGGGGCGTGCCCACCGCGGGGCCTGTTTTGTATTAGGTTTTTTAAATTCTAAGCACTCTCAGCTCACAAAGCGGCTGCAGTACCGTCCAGATGACGCTGCTCCAGAACCTTTCGAGCTCAAGCCAGCCGCCTGCTGCCCCGTCACCTGCTCCCACGGACGCGGGAGTCTCCTCCAGACCCTGGCCACCCCCTGGTCAGGCTGTGTTCCGGCTCACAGCCTGGGACCCACTCAGGTCCACGGGTCATCCCAGTGCCACCCTCCAAACAGGACGCTCCCCAGCCTGCCTTTCACTGTCACTGTTGGAAGATTCCAGCCGGTTCTTTTGTAGAAAGGATGCCCCTCACCCTGGCTCTTTCTGACGTTCCCTCCCGCCGCAGGAGTGTCACAGGAGCTTGCCTGTCAGGTGGCCCAGACGTCAGGGTGTCACTTGGTTGGGGGCGCCTGCCGGGCGTCCCACCGCTCGTCTTCACAGTCATTAGGGAGTGGCTGCTGGCGGGCACCCAGGTGCTGCGTGAACGTCCCCTCGCGGTCAGTCCTGACTTCTGGCCGCGGGATTTGCTGCTTGCTGCTCCTATTACTCCCCGCATGTCCCCGTAACCCCCCGTGTGTGTCCCCGCACCCTCCTGCGTGTCCCCACCCCCCTGCATGTCCCCATACTGCCTGTGTGTCCCTGTGCCCCCTCATGTGTCTCTGTGCCCCATGTCCCCGCACCCCCACGTGTCCCCTTGCCCCCATGTGTCCCCGCACCCCCTGTGTCCCTGCACCCCCTGCATGTCCTCATACTGCCTGTGTGTCCCTGTGCCCCCTCATCTATCCCCGCACCCCCTGTGTCCCCACACCCCGCCATGTGTCCCCATGCCCCCCACGTGTCCCTGCACCCCCTACGTGTTCCCGTGCCGCCCATGTATCCCCACACCCCCGTGTCCCTGCATCCCCACCACGTGTCCCTGTGCCCCCTTGTCCCCGTCCCCCACGTGTCCCTGTGCCCCATGTGTCCCCTTGCCCCCACATGTCCCCTTGCCCCCGTGTCCCCACACCTGCCCACTTGTCCCTACATCCCCCCACGTGTCCCCTTGCCCCCACGTGTCCCCTTGCCCCCCGTGTCCCTGCACCCGCCCCGTGCCCCTGCACCCCCACTGTTTATTCTGGTGCCCGTGCTGCCCCTTGGGGGCCGTGGCAGCCCCGCCAGGCTGCCTGTGTGCTTCTGGGCGGACCCGTCCTCCTGACTGCACTCCCCCGCTCTCTGGCACAAAATGCTGCTCAGCCCTCGACTTCACTGTCCTGCTGGTCCTGGAGTCAGCCATTTCTCCAGAAAGCTGTGACTCCCTTGAGTGGAGGGTGGTGGGGTGTGTTAGACGCCCAGGTGGGGGCGCATGGGGTGCTCATTGCCCTCAGGCTACCGCGGGTCCCAGATGGAGCTGGGGAATATGTGTCCTCATATGCGTGTGTGCTTATGTGGAATCACTGATCTGTGTGCACGTGTTTGTGCAGGATTCATTTCGACATTTCTCTGTATATTGGGCCCCATGAGTTCACACCCCAGTTCCAGGGCAGCAGCGCTGGGTCCGTCCTCGGTCCTCTGTCCGCCCCGTGCTTGTGCCGCGGAAGCCCGGGGCTGGCGGGGGCTCTGGCCTGGTGCGCAGGCGCCACTCTTCCTGACTGCCGGCGG